TGATCTAGAAATAAGAACAAATTTCTTAAATTAAGTGTATTTATCATTAATTTCAGTAGGTCAATAAGATGATCTGCCAATGGAATGAGAATTTATGCTCTTAAAATAAGATGATTAGATAAAATGCACTTGAAATAAGACAATGCAATCTGTTTTCTTATTTTAAATGTCAATTGTTCCATTGACAAAGTGTCTCTTTTACCTCCTCAATCCAAGAACAAATGAATTTTAAGAAAAAATGTCTTATCTAGATTTTTATTAGTGTGGAAGTTGGAGCCAGATTCTGAATAACATGCTGTGTGTCCCAAAGAGAGGAGGATTGAATGTAGGCCTGAGGGAGTTGGAGTGAAAAATAAAGATGTTTAAATACAGCAAATAGTCCCAGAGGTGAACAGAAGATACTAAAACAAATCTAAAGTCAAACCAGAGTGATTGAAGGAAGAAGACGGAAAATAAATACTGAGAAGAACGATGAGTAAAACAAAAAATAAAGCAGATGAGACTAGAGCAGAAAAGAATTCTCAAGTAGGGTGGAGGTTTGTAGAGGACCCAAAATCTAGAGACTGAAGCTGAACGTGGTTACTTGCAGATTTAATAATAAAAAAAGGGCAACAGAAGCAAAAATCCACAAAACAAAAATCCACAAAAACTGAGAACCAGGAATCCTCACAACAAGGCGGCAAAGAAATGACGACAAACAGGCAACAGTGGCTGAGCAGGAGGTGCATATATGGGAAACAGAAACAAAGACCAGGCTGATCAGCAGATTGGGAGCAGGTGTGAACAGAGGAGACTAGAAGGAAGCTAGGAGAAGGAGACTGACACTAGAGGGCAGCAGAGGGCAGACAAGAAATACCTAAGAACTCAAATATGATAAAAAAAATAACTAGAATAACACAGAATGGAAATAAAACCAATGAAAACTCAAGGATAAAACTTAAACAGAACCAAAACCATGACAAGTAACGAACAGAATTACTTTTATTGTCTTTTCAGCTTCAGTGTCATACAGCTAAACTAGTGGCCAGCCTGGAGTTTTTAGTTATGTCTAATAAATAAACAATTGTTATCATCTATCATTTTATTATTCTTAACTTTTACTGAGGGGTTGCTCAGTGGGGCAGTGGGTAGAACTGCTGCCTTTAAGCAAGAAGGTTCTAGGTTTGATTCCCGGCCCGGGGTTTGCATGTTCTCCCTGAGCATGCGTGGGTTCTCTCCAGGTACTCCAGCTTCCTCTCACAGTCCAAAAACATGACTGTTAGGTTAATTGGCTTCACTAAATTCTCCTTAAGTGAGTGTGAATGGTTGTTTTTCTCTGTGTTTCCCTGTGATGGACTGAAGACCTTTCCAGGGTGGACCCCGCCTCTTGACCCTAGACAGCTGGAGATAGACACCAGCACCCCTCGCCACCACAGCAGGGATAAGCGTGACAGAAAATGGATGGATAGAACTTTTAATGAGGAGCAATTAAGATCCATAACTTTTAATATGTCTCTAGGTATACAGAAAAATGTAGACTGTAATGAATGAATGTGAATTTATTTAAGAGAATTTGACAAACAACAATAGATAAATCAACCAAATACACACAAAAAAAAAATATTGTAAACATCGACCAAACCAAACACCAATTTCCAAACGAACTAAATTCACCTGAACATAAACAGAAACCAAACCGTCCACCAAATAAACCTCTCGATATAAACAGCCAGATAAATGACATCCATTTATTATGAGGAGGAGCAGTTTGATGATCCATAGTAGATTATTGTTGGTATTGTTCCTTTAAGCTAGGATTTTATGTTGGCATATGATATATCGACTCATAAATGAAAGTATTATATTAAAAGACTTTAATGACTGTACGCCCACCAGCTGTAATCTCCATCATTAGAAAGCACACTGAGCATAATACACAGGATAAAAATGGCGAGGAGCCTGAGGTGGGCGGGGTGCAGCTAAGGAATGTAGCCTGTTCTATTTTCTGTGAAATGTTTACTTTCCTAGAGGCCTTTTGCACGACAGCCAGCATGAAGGAAGCCGACATGAGATCAGCTCTTTTGCAGGAATGCAGCACAGGAGCCGGTTTTGCAGAACATGCTTTAACAGAAGCCTGTTACCAGAGATATTCATCTGCGTTTGACTTTACTTCTGTTATCTCGGTTTATTAAATGAAAACCAGTTCCTCTGCGCCCTCAAACACATTTCTGATGTTTTTATTATAATGGGCTATCCCACACACTAACTTTTCCATATCTGAAAATATAAAAGGATATAAAATATACAGCAAAGGCTGGAATAAAAGCTGATACACAGTTTTTTTTCCTGAACGTTTTCCTTTAAAGGTATATTAGAGGATTTTCATGATTTTTTTGAAAAGACCTGCCCTCTTCAAATTAGAAGAAATGCACATGCACAACCCTGTACCCGCTCCTGAGAGGGAATGCCTATTAAACGCGTGCGAAAGTGTGCACGAGCCCATCCCTCGTGCACGCATAGCTCATGCTAGGTTACTGTGTCCGAATGTCCACCCTAACCCCTAAATCCCTCCATCACTATATAGAGCGGGGACTTTATAGTGAACTCAGCTACCTGACCGTTCACAAAGATGATCACTACTTTTTGCTCCGTTGGTCACGTAACTCCTCCTCCGCTGCGCGGCGCCTGTGACGCCTTTGTTATTAGTCGCTGACAGCGGGCCGCTGTCAAAGCAAACATCTGCCTCTTCTGAGGCCTTTCTTTTATTCTCATACACTTCGTAGACACTTTTTCCTGTTACGAACCGCGGTGAGAAAGGTGAGCTTCAACGACTGTCTGAAACCGTAGCTCACCACAGATATACGCCTGAAAATGCGCTGAAAAAGATGGCTAACGGGACGATCATGTAGGACGGCCTTACGTAAACACATCACCAGAATGATTGAGCATTAGGAGGACCACTGATTGAGATGATCCACCCAGAAAAAGAACATCCTCCACTATACCTTTAACAGCAGGACATGAAACCAGATAAACTCCTCAGTAGAGACTGACATTGGGACGGTACAGGATTAAACATTAGCGGGAGCAGACGGGAGCAGGAGCAAACCGATAGTAACTAAAAAAAAAAACTAGGATCGATGCCAAAAAATTAAATACAATAGAAAGAAAAAAAATCCAGTACTGGTGCCGCTATTTTGTAGTTATTTTCCTTGAAGCCCACACTATAATGCGAGTCAAAAAAACTACACGACCCAAAAACCAACAGTGCTTCCGCTCTGAGATTTTCTCCCGCGCTCAAAAACAACAATGGAGGGACCAACAGTTAGAAACAGGAACTTAACTGATCCTTGATAGAAATTCAGATTCAACGTATTGGCAGGAATCTTATTGATGACAACCAGAATGGGAGTGGGAGTCATTCTGAATGGGAGCGGGATGGGAGTGGGAGTAATTTCACCAGGAGTGGGACGGGACAGGATTTTAAGGAGTGAAAATCCGCTCCGTGTCAGTCTCTCCTCCTCAGTAAAGATTCACATTAACATAATGACTCTCTGTCACAGTGTTGCCAACTCAGCCACTTTGTCGCTTTATTTAGCGACTTTTCAGATCCCTCCAGCGACTCTTTTTCAAAAAAGTGACTAGCGACAAATCGAGCGACTTCTCTGGTGTCTGCCGTGCAGCGGCGGTTCTAGACAGGGGCCAATGGGGGCCAGTGCCCCTGTAGATCATGTTATGGCCCCTGTACCGAAGACAATACTCAAAGAGATTCTAATGATGATGCTCTTGAACAGACATGGTTCCTGATTGGTCCTTTGGATCTATTTCTTTTTTTTTTTCTTCTTTAAAATATTCAGTTTTACTAATTACTTTAAAACAATAAGGTGATAGTTTTCCCAGTTTTCATCTGCTAAATGTTTTTTTTTTTTTTAAACAAAAAAATAATTTTTTACAGCTGAATTTATCAGTTTTTCTTGAGTTCTAATTCTGATTTTATAGAAAACTGTCATTCTAACTTAAATCAAGTTAAGAAAATGTAAAATTCCTAAATGATGAAGGTATATTGAACTATTGTTCCAAATAATAGCTTGATTTGATCTTTTAGATATTTATATAGCTACAATTTTTTGAGTTTTTTGCTATGCTACGGGATTTTTATTTTTATTTTAACGATAATTAACATTTTTAAGCCAAAAAATAAATATTTTCAGTTGGAAGTTAGAATTTTAGTTAAACCGAATTGAATGGAAATTTCCCTTCATGCAGCTTTCTTGATATATTTGAATCCTTGCCCTGGTTTATTTACTTCAGGCTTTTTGGTGCCCCCATGAAAACACCCCACCCTGCCCCCCTGGAACATTTGGTCTAGAACCGCCACTGCTGCCGTGGGGCTCCTCTCCGTCCCAACCCCGTTTTCCCGCTTCCACAGGAGTCCCTCTAAACGCTGCAGTCAGAGCCACAGCATGTTTACCGTCCAAACAGCAAATGAACCGCGTGCATCCGCCGGGATTGACGGCGCAGGTTGATCACGCTGGAATCAGCTCCCTCAGTTACCTGCCATAGAGAAGCTTGACCAACATGACGATGACACACTCTTTATGTGAGCAGGCGAGCACAGCCTGTGTGTGGAGGGAAATCTTATTAGTTAAACAAACAATAATAACCATTATTTGCTCACATTGTCATTAATTCTTTGTAGTCTTTTTTTGTTCCATTTAGATTGTTAATGTTAATGTAATGTAAAAAATGTTATGGTTCATGGTTTTACCATGATTTTTAAGCTCCTTAGTGGACCACAAGGGGGAAAAAAAAAGTAAAAAATAAAAAGATTATGCAAATTAGGCAATGACATCATTCAGCGACTTCTAGCCCAGCCAATAGGCACTGAGGAGTTGGCAACACTGCTCTGTCAGATAGACGCACATATCCATAAATCTAGCTTCATATAAACCCAAAACTTGCGGGTCTTCCTGTCACTAAACATGCTAGTTGATTAATTCCTGCATTCTGTGGATGTTCAGGCTTTAACTGGATGGTTGGCGTCATGAAGAAGATCATTGCAGAGGCCACCCAGATGAAAAATGAATCCAAGATGCCGCCCTTAATGGAGTTCTTTGGACCAGAGGTCATGAAGGTACTAACCTCCTGCATTTCACTTTCTAATTAAAACCCTGCAGTTAACTGTCAAATATTACTTTGAAATGAACACTTTAAGTAATCTGAAAGCAAAGTTTGAATTCTGATGGATTGTGTGTTTTATCAGTGTGGGGAATTTCTGTGTCCAATGGTTACCTGCAGAAGAAGCAGACTGCTGTCTAAGTTTAGACTGGCTGCGTTTTTAACTATTTTGATTTCAGGGCATCAATGAAGCTCCGTCTCCAAGGTTTCTGGGGACTCACCTTCATCCAGACAACATGCCCCCGTCCTTCATCCAGAAGAAACCAAAGGTACATTTTCAGTCTGCTGTAAGAAGCCTTTAAATCTGTTGCATTTTCTTCTGTATTTAAACATTTTATGCAACCTAAACAAGTCAAGTAAGACCCAGATAAACCTGATTAACTGAAACATGACCAGATGATTACACATTTGATTTATATTCCAAAAAACAAAACAAAAAATCAATCCTCTGGACTTTGTTTCCAAGTTTGAAGACGTTTCTCTTCCATCCAGGAAGCTTTTTCAATTCAAAATGTCAGAAATAGCGTTTAGTTCCAGGTTTTATCCAGCAGCCCAACAAAGCCTGGTTTTAGTTTAGAAAACATGCAAATAGAAACGGATGAACGGGTCCCCCCCTTTGGAATGGGGGTGCCTGGAACTCATTTTGAATCGACAAAGCTTCCTGGATGGGAAGAGAAATGTCTTCAAACTTGGAAACAAGTTTTTCTTTTTTACTTTTTTGGAAAGACTATGACCTGTTTGACTGAGGATCTTCACCAGCAATTTGATTTATAGTAAATATTTTAAAATGAAGCAACATAAATTCAGGTTAGGTTAATAAAAACAGCTTTACTGATCATATTTGATCTCCTCTCCTAGACGGTGGTGGTCTTCAGAAACCCTAAGGACACCTTGGTCTCCTTCTACCATTTCTGCAACAACAACCCAGTCCTGCCGTCTACATCCTGGGAATCTTTCTTTTCCAAATTCATGAAAGGAGACGGTGGGTGAAAAGAAGATTTTACCATATCTCAGGGACCATAGATGTCAGGGTTTAGTTGTGGTTTGAGGACCCAAATGCAGAGGCAGAGAGGCTGAGGAGATTTCTTGCAGCTTTAATGAAATAAACACAGGTAACAGATGCAGGAATCCAAAAATCCAACATGAAAAATATAAAGCAAACCAGAACTATGGAGACATCTGGGGAAACAAGGAGAGACGAGATAGGTGGACAACAGCATGGGAGGACAGCAAAGACAAAGAACCAACAAAGAGGGAGAGCAGAGGGAGAATATAGATAGCTGACAGAGACAAAGGCAGGGCTAACGAGCTGACAAGGAGCAGGTGTGAGAGGAGACAACGAGGGAGCCAAGGGGAAA